TTCTAAGCCCTTGAAAGCACGTTATGATTCGTTTCTTAGAACCTTTGCCTGGGAGAGTTTTGCATGACACTGTAACAGGCAAATAAGGAACCTAGAGGTAAGGATTCATTGTGAAAGGATGCTTTTTGGCGTATAAAATGTCTGGAAAGGAAATAGCGAGTTTAATATTTAGGATGAGAAAGGAGGGGTCCTAAAATGAGCCAAGTGCATAATGTGCAAAATGTGCTATGGATGTAATGATTAACCAGGAATGGTTTTACCCAGAATTTATAAAAGTTCAGTAAATGTGGTGGACCACCAACTTATAATGCCATTCCTGGTGCCTCGTAATTTAACTAAATAGTAAAATTTAGACTGCAACAGAGGAGAAAGCATGAGGATAAAAAGTGCTGAATTACTATACTAGATTATCTTAGGGTTCTGCAAATATTCACTCCCTCTCCCTGTTCCTACCATCTCCACAGGAAGAGTCTTCCCCTTGCTGTTGGACCTGGACATGTGATTTGTCAAAGCCAATGGGATGTCAGAGGACATTAGGCAAGGAGAGAGCCCTGAAATGTGCCCGTGTGATTGGGTTTGTCCTTTGCTTTCCTTTCCCCATGAGAACACCATGCATCTTGGTAGACCAGAAACATGTAGAACAAAACCAGACCCAACTCACAGCTTCAAGCCAAGTGCAGGCAAGCCTAACCAGACCACCCGACTCCTACTCAACTGCAGATGTGTAAGAAATAAGCATTGGGGTGCCTGGGTGACTCAGTTGGTTAAGTGACTGCCTTTGGCTCAGGTTGTGATCTCAGAGTCCTCGGATTGAGTCCTGAGTCGGGCTTTCTCTCTCTCTCTCTCTCTCTCTCTCTCTCTCTCTCTCTCTCTCATAAATAAATAAATAAATAAAATCATTTTTTTAAAAAATAAAGCAGTGCTTATTTTTGCATGCCAGTGAGATTTGGTGGTTGTGTATTATGCTGCATTATTATGGCAAGTGTTGACTGAGATAAGCACATAAGAAAAGGTTTGGGATTCTGAGCCATCCAATTCTGGCACAGAAAAGGATCTTCTTCCTCATTTGCAAATGCCAAGTTAAATTAATAAAATATAATGTTGGGCTTTCAGTATCTAAGATTTCACCTTTCTTTCTCTAAACAGAAAGAACCAGAAGGCAAATGTTGACACTGTGTTTGCAGCCCAGAAGGCAGAAGAGACCAGGCCGCAAGTCACTCACAGCTAAAATTGCTAAGGATAATTCAGATAAGATTGTCCATTCTGGCAACGTGCATCCAGTGAATCTAAAGTGAAGGAAGTCCCATAATAATAAAGATATTATTGAAGAAGAATTTAATATAAATACTGAAAAGTAAGTCTTTGAGTAGTTAAGTCAGATCTCTAATTACACTTTCCATTCACTCCTTCAAAAAATATTTGGTACCTATCTAGAAAATACGTAATATGAAGAGCTCAAAATCAAATACCAATCCTTCTCCTATGCCCACTGATAAAACTAGGTCAAACCATGTACATGATTTTGCATTCTGTTTTTATCAGATTCATATTGTGAACATATTCCCCATTTTAAAAAAATATTTTTCAAACACATGTTTTTAATGATACTTAACATTTTATCAGGTAAGTGTGGCACAATTTATGTTAAAGAATATTCTTTTATAAAACTCTTTGCATTTCTTATTTTTCCGTAAATTGAGTTCTCACAAAAGAAATTGCTGAGTCAAAACTTGGGACAACATATACTCACCCCAGAGATAGATGAAAACAACAATTTTGTGACATTATCCCCAACCCCTGGTATCAGTCGTCAACTCCCGATAAACAGAATACATGAAAAGGAATGTTCTCTTTATGGGAATAAGGGGTATGTGTGTGTGTGTGTGTGTGTGTGTGTGAGAGAGAGAGAGAGAGAGAGAGAGAGAGAGAGAGAAAAGAAAAAATAAAATATGGGGAGGGGCACATGCAGGTCCTGAGTAAGTAGCCCGGGGGAACCTGGGTGGCTCACTTGGTTAAGCATCAGACTCTTAATTTTGGCTCAGGTCATGATCTCAGGGTCTGATATTTTATCCCATGACAGGCTCTGCAAAGCTTGCTTCAGATTCTCTCTCTCCCTCGCCTTCTGCCCCTACACACCCCACTCACACTTTCTTTCTAAAATAAATAAATAAAATCCTTAAAAAAGAAAAAAAGTCCAAAGATGATGCAAGTTGCTGTAGCAGCTGATATATGCCATCAGAGGTTAAGAAAGAAATAGAAAAAAATGTAGTTGATAAAGAATTTGTTAAGAACTTGTGCTTAAATAATTTAGTGCTACATTATATGATCTTGTGCAGTTAAACATCAGAGATTATGAAAAACAGTTACCAGCAAAACTTGGTACCTCTACACTTTGACAAGGAAACAAAAAAAATAGATAATCCTATGTTAAAATCCTATGTTAAAAAATGACAGCATCCTTATTATCACTCATCATCTATCCATTTGCTTAACTTTATTGGTGCCTACTATTGCCAGCGTACTGGAAATGAAGAAATGAATGAGATGAAGTCCTAGTTCCATGAGCTCACTGTAAAGTAGGAAAAACAAATATGCAAAGAAAATAATTGCAGGATGATAAGTGCCATTCCAGAGCTACCAACAAACCCATAAAGGAGAGAGTCGGAGCAGGCCTGACCCCAGAGATGAGGATTATGAGCCAGGTATTGAAGGATAAAGAGGAGTTTTCCAGGCAGAGAAGGGAAGGAAGGACTTCGCAGAGAGAACAACAAGGTTGGACTCTGTCCCATAAATCACAGTAGACCAATTGCTTTGTCTTGCATGGATTAGAGGTATGTACCAAAATACTGACTCACTCTACCAGGTGGGACCAGGGCAACTGGCCTCCCTGGGGTAGTCCTCTCCAGCCCGGAATCATTTCTCCCTTCTTCCCACAAGATATGGACATATTATTTTCTACATTTACTAGGGATACAAAAAAAATGTTAGAAAGCACAGGCCCAGGTTGCTGAGATGTGACCAAGGTTTATAAGGCCGGGAGTGATACTAAGATCACATTGGAATTTTTTAACCGTGAACTTTGAAAGTGTGATGGCGGCCAGAGGTAGAGAAAGACTGAGTACAAGGAGGGTGAAGGAGGAGCTGTGACAGATGATATGTTCAGATATGTTTACCGTCTCACCATACAGTGCCCCTCCCTTAGGAGGATTATACTCCTACCCAGGGATGTTGGGTTTGGACATTAGACTTGCTTTGGCCAAGGCAATATGAGTGGACAAGCCTGCCTTGTGCCCTTCCCTTACCAGCAGAAGCTCTGAGAGCATCACAGAGTCCACTATTACAGTGTTTTCCCTCTGAAAGAGGCCAGCATATCCCAACAGAATCAGTTTAGAGTAAAGGGGACATGAAGCAGGGTGGCAGCTGACCCTCAAAGGCCATTAATTTGAGCCAAAAATAAATCTTTGTTGTTATCAACCACTGAAATTTAAGGGTCATTTCTTACAGCTTAAGCTAATGGATGCAGAGCCTGATGGGCTAGGCTAACCCAGACTATAGAATATGAGTTCCTGAACTGACAACTGATGGTTTTCTCAGCATCAGGAAATCAATCAATGGTGCTTGTAAGATGATTAAGTCAGAAGAGAAACACACTGTATTCCAATGGCCCTCAATTAGGGCTATGAGAATCACTGGGGGATCTTTGACAAGGAAGACACGTCCAGCTAGGGCTAGACTGAGCATATGTATTTGTGTTCTTCCAAACTTATGTTCAACAAACATCTGCTCAGCATTTATTTAGCCTAAGCGGGAAGAAGCTGATTTTCTAACAGGAAAGCTGGTCCCCCACTTTGTTAATGTTTATCACTCAAATGGTGGCTGTCAAAAAAAAAAAAATGGTGGCTGTCCTACTCATCTTCACTGAGATGCCACTCCAAAATAAATAAATAAATAAATAACATACAAGAGCATTGGTAAACACTGTAAATTTCACTGAGGAGATGAAGGAGAGGGCTTATGGTGTAAAGTAGATAACATTTTACCAGGGGGTAAAAAAAATCTCATTAAATTAGTCTTTTCTCCCAAAACCTCTTCTAAGCCTCATACTTAAAACTTTCCTCCAGGGGTACCTGGATGGCTCAGTCAGTTAAGCAGTTGCCTTTGCCTCGGTCATGATCTCAGGGTCCTGGGATAGAGCCTAGCAGACAGCTCTCTGCACTCCCCAGCCCATTCATTCTCACTCTTGCAAATAGTTGAATAAAATCTTTTTTAAAAGCTTTCCTCCAATGCCCCCTCCTGACATCATAAACCCCCTCTCATGAAACCTCCTGCTCTATGCCATCTGTGAATGCACTGAAGACAGCAGAGTCTAACCACTCATGCTTAATGCTGGCAACGTGCTAAGACAACTGGTTCAAGTAGAACCAAATCCCTGAAGTCATTCTTCAAGATGCCGCTGTTCACAGGAAGTAGAGATCTGGGACTTAGCTACTTGATGTGTGAATTTCTACCACTGGTGAGCTTTCAGGTTCACAATAGTTGCAAAATAGAAATGTTCTTTGAATGTGTGAACATTTACCTGATGCCAGGAGTCACTCACATCTTAATTTGAGACCATTTAATTAAGATGCCTTTCTCCTAACAACTAGTTGGAAGTAGTTGGTCAGAGGGAACAAAGATTTCAGGGACAGTTGTGGAGGGTGAGAACAAAGGGTATGGAGATGGTGATGCTGACAGCACCTCCTCCCAACCTATGCATCCAACCCTGGGAAAGTGCACAGGAGGAGCCTCAAAGGGGGAAACAGGGATCCCCTAAGCTTTGTCCACTTCACAATTTGGCCCAGATCAGCTCTGGGACAGCTTCCCTTCTGTCAACATCATTCCTCTTAAATTCTCATGCAAACCACAGGCTCAAATCTGAAGCAATTCTCTTTGCCACAGTGTGTGACAATCAGAAAGGATGTGCTTTGTGCTCCACCCACACCTTCAAGGAGTGACTTTACCTTTTGGGTAAGGTCACTGGCTTTATCGATGTACTGATCTCTCTCCTTTTCCAGCTGAAAGATGATCTTTCTCTGCTTCTGAGCCTCATCCTTATAGTTCTGGATTTCTTCTTCCAGATTCCTCTTGGCTTGCTCATGGAGCTTTACCAGGTCTATCTGTTTCTGGGTCGCATTGATCGCCTTAAGCATGTTCTAAAAATGACAAAAGAGCAGCCAAATTACTCAAATTGTGTGGGGATTTGGAGATACATTTATCCTGTTTCATCCCTAAAATAATTAGATAACATTGTTTTTTGGGTGAATAAAAATAATCATATTCTCTACAGCTATTATGTTAATTTTGCACAAGGTAAACCCATCCGTAAATATACTAAGTGACCACAATGTCACTAGGAAGTGAGTACTGTCTTGCTCCCATTTTAAGGGTAAGAAACTGACGTTTACAAGTTAAGCTGCTTGCCTACAAGTTCATTCAATGAGGGAGTGGCAGAGCCAGGATTTGAGTCCAGGACCTGCTGACCCCCCCAAAGGTAAATTCCACCCCAACTCTAGCTTTGTTCCTGTGAGTTTAGAACAACTGAATCGAATCATGTAACAGGGCTTTGACTACAAAGTAGAATAAAACCAATGTGTTAAAAATGCAAATATCAGTGTCTGGGCAGCTCAGTCGGTTTAGTATCTTCCTCGGGCTCAGGTCATGATCCCAGGGTGCTGGGGTAGAGCCGCATCAGGCAGCTGCTCAGCGGGGAGCCTGCTTCTCCCTCTCCCTCTGCTCCTCCCCACTGCTTGTTCTTTCTCTCTCTCTCTCTCTAATAAATAAAATATTTTTTTAAAGACGCAAATGTCTAGAGTAAATGTATGATCCAACAATTTCACTCCTGGGTATATGCACCCCGTAGAGCCAAAAACAGGTGTTCGAACAATAATTTGTATATGAATGCGCACAGCAGCACTAGTCACAAAAGCCAAGAGGGAAAAACAACCCAAATGTCCATCAGCTGATGAATAGGTCATCAAAATGTGGTCTATCCACACAGTGGAATATCAATCAGCCATAAAAAAGGAACGAAGTCCTGATACAACTACAGCATGGTTGAAGCCTTGAAAACATTCCAAGTGAGAGATGCTGTATATAAAAGATCATATATAATATGATTCCAGTTACATAAATATCTCAAATAGTCCAATCCCCAGGAGAAGAAAGCAGAAGAAGTCAGAGTTGGTCAGGGTGGGAGAGGCGGAGGGTGGGGGAATAACTGTAGCTAGATAGTGGTGATGGTTGTGTGACACTGTGATGGGACTCAGTATCACTCATGGTCTATCCTGCCTTACGTGTATTTTACCACAATAACACAATTAGCCCAGTTTCTAAAAAAATGCAGATATCTCTGTCTCAACTCCCAGAGATTCCGACTCAGTAGATCTAGGGTGGGACCCAGGCACCAACATTGTTGTTTTTTTTTAAAAAAAAAAAGCTGCACTAGTGATTTCTGATGCTGAAATGGAAATTCCTTTGGATTGGCTGCCCAAGAAGCCAGATTGTCCCCCGAAAATATGGATTCAATAGTAGGGCCACTCTGGCAGCCACGCTCATGCAAGAGGACTCACTTCTCTGACCATAGGTATGAATGGACCAGGGACTTTTGAAACAGGGCCTTTAGCTCTTTGCAACTCAATACAGGATGTAAACCTGGGAGCTATTGGTGATGCCTATCGGACTGAGAAGCAGAGAGGCAATCTTCCCTGAAAGAAAGGAATGAAAGCAAATCTAGTGGTGGCAACAGAGGGCTTTCATGTGTACCCAAGAATGTCAGGCCAGGCTCCCATTAGTTCATGAGGCCTAACTGTGTCCTTGGGTTTGATGAGGTACCTGGTTGTCCCTTCCCAAATCTCTAAGCAATACGTACCTGCAGGCAGGTCTGAAACCACTGGAACATAAACACATTACACCTCACTTGGGTGGTGATGCAGAAAATAGAAAAGGTCAACTTGATTTTCAAGTATTGAATTAAACATTCACTCTCTAGAAGACAAAGCCACTTTAACATGACACTGAAAGAACGAAAATATATTAACATTGCCGCTTGTCGAAACCATGCAGCTCATTCACTCAGTGAAGATGGCATTTCAAGTCAGTGGGGAAGGAATGTATTATCAGTGAAGGTTGATTGCATACCTGCAGAGGGTCAGGCACTGCGCTAGGCACTAAGGATGCACTGGGCAGAAAAGAAAAAAGTATACCCTGCCCCAGAGGAGGAACTGACATTGGTCAAACAAACAAATAAATGTAAAATTAATGTTGTACTACATGTCCTATTGCAGCAGAAAATCTATTGGTCGTCTACCAGTATACATAAAATATAAATGCATTCAATGTATGTTAAAAATACATTTAAAATTCTAAATCAAACGAGTTGTTTGCATGTGCGAATTTATTGAATAAAGTTTCCAGGATTATGCAAAAAACAATGATTTTCTAAGAAGTGCTCAGCATGTAAAGATATGTAATCTCCTACTATTTCCCCGAGATCCCTACTTTGTCTCCTTTTAGCTTCCAAAGTGGTCTATTTTGTCAATATTTGTTCAACGCTGGGAAACCTAAAGAAATAATGAAAGTTGAAAAAATATAGGCTGTTTCTACTTGATGAGATGAAGCTGTCTTGGCCAAAGGCCATAGACTGTTCTGGAAGCAGCCTCCTCACTCTATACCTGGCCCTTGGATTTTTTTCTCCCTGGAGGAAATCCCAGGGCAGGAAAGTTTACCCTAAATCCTTGAAAGTAGTTAGCCTGCTAAGAGTGATTGTCAATGGAAGGAATTCTCTGGACCCATTTGAAGAGGAAAAGGGTGAGGGTAGGGGTCATCCCTTGAGTGGAGGCTTTGCAGGCCTCAAGCTCCCACAAGCCCTCCCTCAACTTTGGACCAGACTGAGCTCAAAGACTAGGAGATGAAAGGGCTGGAAACAAAAACAAAACCTACAACAGTCTAGGAAAGAAGACAGAGGGAAGGTTTACGGCATCAACCAGCCCTTCTTAAACCAAACTCAAAGGTAAAATGGTATTAGAACTCACTTGTATCTTCTGGATTAGCAAAAGTTGTAGATCATAGATACTAAATTCAGAAATTTTGATCAACTGTTTAGGATGCCAAATAACACACTAGCAATAAAATCAGAATCCACACAATGCTCTTAAATCCCCTGCTCTTTTATATGGTAATTCCCCCAAGTCCCTTTGTGCTCAAGGGTGATAATGCAGTTTCAGTTCTCAGCCTGTGAATGGTGGCCTGTGTGTGGCAGCTTGGAAGAAAACGGAGCACAATTATTTATTTCTAATCCACTTCTGTTCGTTTCAGAGTCTTCCTTCCCCTGCACAACTGGTTATAGGCAAATATCATAGCATTAAAGAAAGATGTTTATTTACCATGCTACGGGTACAAGCTCACCTTATTTAATATGTCCCTTTCTCTCAGAAGCTCATCCATTGCTTTCTTATCAAGTTCTGCTTGTTTCTTTGAAGCTTCCACCTCTAAATGATGAAGTAGAAAGAGAAGAAGAAATATGGAGCTGACCAAAGAAAGAATCTGCCAAAGCCAAAGTCGATGTGACACAGAAACTGCTTTACGTGTTTATCTGCAGCTATAAAACTACTATTTATTGAATCTTAGATGATCTTCACTATAATTTAGTGAAGGAGGTCTCCCATCCCACTGAACAGATGGAAACTGAGACTAGTGGGATTAAGCCACATGCTAACCGTCTGCAACTAGGTGACAGGGCTAAGGCTGGGAGCATGGTTTCTCTGAAGCCAAAAGTCCTTTCTCTTTTAAATCTTTTTAATTATACAAGTAATTCGTGATACAGAAACAAATGACACATCCAAATAAACTAGAGGGAAAAAATTTCAAGTCAACCAGAATCTACTTAGGATTTTAATAGGTCTCTTTCCAGACTTTTTCCTTTGCAAATATATGTGTGCATAAAAATATAGATATACACACATTCATATATATATATATATATATATATATATATACCAAAAGTGAATTATACTGCACATACTGTTTTGTAGCTTGCTTTTATAATTAACTAACATAAAATAAATGCTTCTATATATTATAAATATGCATCTACAACAGATTTTAATGCCTCTGTGATAATTCACTATATGAAAATGCATAATATATTTAGTCAATCCCCCACCTTAACATTTAAATTGCTTCCATTTTACTTATTTATTTGCAATTATAAGCCATAATTCTGTAAAAGTTCTTGTTCATTTGTTACTCTAGAAGAGGAAGTCCTGGATTGAAGGTGATTAAAAAAAAAAAAAAAGGCATTTCCTCCTACTACCAAATTTGTTTCCAGAAAACTAATAGTAGTTTTTTTTTTCTAATAGTAGTTTAAATCCACACCCAAAACACCTGTGGATATTATGCTCTCTGATCTTTGACAATCCAATAGATTATTAAAACCATATGTCTGTATTTATTTACAGCTCTGTGATTAGTAATGAAGTTGACTACTTTTTCATGTTTAATGAGAATTTATTTGTGTTTCTGTTTTTAAAATTGCCCACACTTGCTCTTTGCCCATTCTTCTCATGCATTGTTTGTCCTTTTCGTGGATTTTTAAGAACTCTTTACATAATAAAAACATTAGCTCTTTGGCAATGTTTTGGTCAATTTGCCTTTATAGAGAGAAATTTTGATACATTAAAAACCCTCAGCTATATTTCATTAAATCTCTCAATCTTGGCCTTCTGGTTTCCACATCTGGTGTAAACTTTTTATCCCAAAAAGTAACTTATTGTCATGCTATCATTTTCTTAACAATCCATACTGCACTTGTATGAAACAACACCATTATTTTAATGATAACCTTGAGTCTTATTGTGTTTTTTCCAATCTCTTCCATTGATCCGTTTATGAGGCATTTTCACTACACTCTTTGATTACCGAAGTTTCATAATATTGAACACCTAGTAAGGCAAATGCTCCTTCATCACTTCTCTTTTCCAGAATTTTATGGCTATAGTCACCTGTTTATTCTTCTGGAGGAACTCTAGACTCAGTTTTCAAGTCCCAACAACATAACTTACTGAAATTCTTATTGGAAATATTAAGTGTATAGATCAATTTAGGCAGATTTATATCTTTATCATATTGCTCTTTTTCATCCAGGAACTTCATATATCTCTCCATTTTTCAAGTCTTCCTTTATACTTCTCAACAGAATTCTGTAGCATGTTTTATATACATGTCTTGCAGTGTCCTAGTAACTTTATTTATAGATATTTTATTACTTTAGTTACTATTGTGAGAGGGGGTTTTTCCATCATATATTCTAACTAACTGATTCTTTGTATGAAATGAAAGTACTGATATGTATATATTTATTTTATAATCTGCCACCTCAGTGAACTCTCATTAGTTCTGGCAGTTTATCAGTTAGTTCCTTGGGCTTTATGGTAGAAAATCATAACACATGGAGGACTCGTGCTCCTAACTATTATGTCCAATGTCACTCTTTGATTGGACACATCTAAAGGAAGAGGTACCTAAGAAGAAATAATTATGTTAATGAGATAAAATAAAATATGGTTATATGGTTATAAAATAACCATAGGAGAGAGCATGATAACTTCTGTAAACATGACTTAAGGATGAAGAATTGGGTTGAACACTGAATGAATAATTATTTTTCAAAACTTAGCAGGCAAAAGTATAGAAGTTTAAATATGCGAGTGTTTTAAAAGTCACTAAACCAATTACAAAATATGATCTAGTAATTCTATTTTTCTTCCTGTCACTGAAGACATTAGATTGTAAACTCATGCAAGATCATAAGCACCCTAAGGGCAGTGACCTCCATGCACTCAACCAACATTAGTGCACTACACATAGTAGGCACTCAAGCCATTAAATGAATGATGGAGAAATTATCAAGATAAGCTGCAACTATACCTCAATAAAAGATTATTTCCTGATGTCTTAAAAGGAAAAATATCTGCATTTTTCAAAGGCTTACATAACAAATACAGTTGACTGTTGAACAACATGGGAGTTAGGGATGCCAATCCCCCACGAAGTTGGGGAAGGGAGAAGGGAAGGGAGAAGAAATGTGTGGGAAATATCAGAAAGGGAGACAGAACATAAAGACTTCTAACTCTGGAAAATGAACTAGGGGTGGTGGAGGGGGAGGAGGGCTGGGGGTGGGGGTGAATGGGTGACGGGCACTGAGGGGGACACTTGACGGGATGAGCACTGGGTGTTATTCTGTATGTTGGTAAATTGAACACCAATAAAAATTAATTTATTAAAAAAAAAAAGAAAATCGACATATAACTCTGACTCCCCCAAAATTTAACTACTAATAGCCTACTGTCTACCAGAAGCCTTACTGATAACATAAACAGTAGACCAACACATATTCTGTATGTTATATGTATTCTACACTATATTCTTACAATAAAGTAAGCTAGAGAAAAGAAAATGTTGTTAAGAAAATAATAGAGAAGAGAAAATACATTTATATGAACTGTATTTATCAGAAAAAAAATCCACATCCAGGTGGGCCCACACAGTCCAAACACATGTTGTTCAATAGTCAACTGGATTTTCAATAGTCAACTGGATAACCTTACCTAGAGATTTAGCTTTTGCCTAACTTTTAGTGAGACAATGTATGTTTTTATGCTCTTAGGTATGTTACCTCCTTCAGTGACCTACAACTCATAGTAGCCCACATAAGTTCAATGACATGTTTCTGCCTCACATACTCTGGCATAATTAAATTCAAACCTGGGTCCTCTGTCTCCAAGTTCAGAGCTATTTCTGCCAAACCAAATTTGACTAGCATATCCTATTTTCAATCATATTCTTTTTCAGAATAAGATGGTCTTCTATCTTACTTCTTTTATAAACTGTAATATCCTGGATAATAATAGATGCCATTTGGTAAGCACTTACTATGTGTTAGGTACCATCCACAAGTGCTTTATGTGTATTAGCTCATCTCATCCTCCAACAATACATACATTAAAGGTGGGATCTGACCCCAGGTACACAGTGACTCCATAGTTTGTATCTTTAATGACTTTTCTGTGCTATATGGCCTTCCATGGCTCTTAAACTTTTCCTCCACAGGGCAATGTGATAGCTGGTAAAACAAATGTTTACCACATGGTAAAATACTAACAAAGAAGTTAGGAGCCTTTTATTTTTGTTCCACTGATTCTTTGTATAATATTGTCCCAAATACTGCTAGTGGGGGACATTCATTTTAATTTATTCCCCATCTTCCATGAGAAAGGGGACTAAAGCAGAAGGTCATGTAGAACTAGGACCTGAGGGTATGGATGTTATTTATTCCAGTGACAAGTACTGAGCAATACTTTTGGCTGAATTTACATTGTGCCAATATAGTCTGTTGAAGAATTTTTTAAGGTAAGAAAGTTTAAGATATGCAAAATTATGTCCCCTGCATATTGGCTGCTTACCAGCTTGAAAGTTATTTTATTGATTACATTTGGCATGGTTTGTGTTTGTATGCATAGAGCCCTGGGTTACCAAATGACATCAGTCATCTATGAAATGTTTGCAAAGGAATAAAACAAAGTGCAAAATGGTTCTTGCTGCACCTCTCTCTAATCCCAAGATCTGATTTTTTAGAGTTTCCTTGTTCTGTTCAACTTCTGACTTTTGATCTTCAATCTGGTGCAATTTCTTATGGATTTGTTCTCTGATTTTGTTGAGCTTCCCGATGTCAAGCCGCATCTGATGGACTTCTTCCTCTTTGGCCTGTAATTAATGAGACAGAATTAACCAGAGACACTCAGTAGATAAAGAACCAGTGACTAGATGATGATAAACTCAGAACCAATAAAAGGAAATTGTTCCTATGCCAGTGTAAAGTTGTTCTATGGGTTAAATAAAAACACAGACTGTTTGATTTTGAGAGAAATTGAAAAACTATTCTCTGAATAATATGTGGCTATGTAAGCTAAAAAATAATGAAAAAGACTGATTAGACCTGATGTCTCAAGGTACCACTGAATTGTTGAATCAAATAGGATAAGAATGCTGAGTATCATAAATGTATGAGTTTTATGTACAAATGCTGTATTTGATTGGCAATTTTTATGTACTCACAGAGTAATCTGTCTCAGAAGATTATTAACATGCTATAAAATATTCAAATAGTCTTTTGAACCCACGTGGCCACTGTAGTAGAATAGCATATACTAGAGAAAGGGCCCTCCCTCCTCAGAGGATGTTAGTCAGTGGGTGTATATACAGATAGGTGGACAAGGTGACATGAATAAGCAAGTCTACATAATGGCAAAAGATACCAAAATAATAATTCTAGCAAAAGAAAGCACCAGATTTTTGTCAAAGGACTTCAAGTTTTATGACTTTTTTCAATTTAAATTAAATTCATTTTTTTTAATTTGCCATCCTTAGACATTGCTGGAAAAGCAATCAGTGATTCTTCCGCAAATAAACATTAGCAATTATCTCCAGCTCTTGACAAGGAAGAAACTGCACTTAGCTGGGCATGCTATTCTCGGATTATTGCTAGAAGTAGAATCCTATAGGTTCAGAATCTGATGACAAAAATATTCCATCTTTCAAGGTGCCCCATTCATGTTATCAAAGAAGAGAATTAATGGCATAAGTATTTTTATTTTAATTTCACCTAGGGGCTAATGTATTATTTTGCGTTAAGTAGTCATTTCATTTCTGCTTCAATTTATAACTTTCTCATAAAGAATGGTTTCAAGTCAAACCATTCTGGACTGCTTTAAATGCTCCACCACCTCAGATTTATATGGTCTAAATTAGCTGAACTAAGGCCCTTTCCAATTAGAACGATAGGATGTTCTAACTCAATAGTCACTAATCCAGACCCTGTGGTTAGACTACAGAAAAACCCTGGAAATATTAAACTGTATTCCAAACAAGATGCAAGATGTGCAAATAAGTGTGGTGTGTGTGTGTGTGTGTGTGTGTGTGTACATGCTCTCCTCAGATTGTCAAAAGGGCTTACAATGCAAAAACTGTTATGATTCACTGATCAAATCTATATATATCATTTTTGATCAGTCACTCATTTTATGCCTAGTATCCTAACATAACTGGAGAAGAGTTTATGGATTTTTTTTTCAGAATCAGTGATAAACATAAAACCCTTCTGTTAAGTGTGTAGGTATACAATATGTACCCAAGTATAAAACTGTTATCCAAACATAAGATTCAAGCACTTTTCATTGAAGACAGGGAGAAAAATGGGAAGCTTGTCTTGAAATTTGCAGTAGATGAAAGTAAAAATCATGGTTGTACAATCCTGGAAGTAGATACCCAATAACACCAGTCCATCCCCAGCCCTGCCATTCCACCTTCTCCATACAAGTAGTAAAATATAATCTGACTTCTTTGCTACTCACTCATATAAATGATGTCTAGCTCAGGGCAACTAGTTATTTCCAAGGCTAAGTTACAGAGATGAGCATCTGGGCTTGCTTTCGAAAAAATATTTGCATAATCATATAATCGACATTCAGGTTTGTGGTTTTAGAAGAATGGAAGTCATCAAATTATCTACTTCCAGGCAGAAAACCATCACTTAAGACTGGCGCCTGCCTCTAATATATCAAGGCTACTACAGGTTACGCAACCAAGGGGTCCAACCGCAATGGTAAACCTCTATTAATAGGGAATAAAGGAGGGAGTGCTAGGGAACAGATAGGTCACACGGTGTTTACTTTGAGCTCCGATGCCTTCTGCTGATTTTCCTGGGATAGCTGCTCACAAACCAGACTGTGTTGTTCATTCTCTTGCTGAAGTTTAGAATTTCTCATCTGAAACTGCTCCAGTTCCTTTGCAGCTCTTTCGTTCAATATCTGAAAGATGCATGACGAGCTGGTTAATGCTTTTTAATCTGATCACAATATCTGCATATCCACGCAGGAGGCCCTGCAAATCTCCTGGGATGATCATAGCAACCACACTTCTTTTTTGTCTTTGTAGAAATTGTTCTTTATCCCCAGTGAAAGCACTAATGCACTCAAATATGATAAATGTTAAATGGCTGAGGAAAACAACGTCTTCTAATGAATAACACAGAGAGCATCATTTTTTTTTCTGAGAGCCTTGGGAAGTCTTGTTCACAGGTGGCGGATAAATATTTTAATGCCTGTTTGCCATTTGGCAAGCTTCGCATATGCAACAATTGCTATAATCATTGCAAATGAGCCAGAGATTCAAACGGGTTTTATCATTTGTGGGGCTGGGATGCTACATCTTCAGAAGCAGATCCCGCATTAACATGCCTACAACATTTTTGTGAGCAGAACAATTCACTGACACCAACACAGAGACAATTCCTCTTAAATCCAACTGAACTCAAAACCGTGGAACAGCAGTGCAATGATTTCAATCTACCTGACTTTAGTGTCAGTGTCATTTCCTCTACCCTACCTTGACTATCCTGAGCAGACAAGGTTTTATTTAAAAAAAAAAAAAAGAAAAAAAAAGACGATTATATTTGGGGGAGCCGGGAGTCATTTCTATTGGCAGACTAGTGGGAGGATGGAGACATATCAAATGTGCTGAAAGGAGAAGAGAGAAGATAGTTTAGACAATTATTCCAAAATATAACTTGATGTACGCAAAAGTTAAACACGGAAAGAATCCATCCAATTTCCCGTCAATAGGGACTAAATAAAACATAGCCAGCTACGCTAAAAATGAAATTATGTTTTACGTGAGTCCTGGATATTGCTAAACATAGAACTGTAGTTTGATCATGATGTTCAAAAACCTCTCAAATTTCACGCTCAAAGAAGTCTCATGTTTTTCTTGTGGATACTTGCACATTGTATATTACCTATCTGATTTCTGGCTTTATACAAAACTAATGAGGCAATTGGCAAAGAAACGTTTTCTAATATCTATTTTGTAAGTGATAAAACACTGTATGGTTTGGCAATTCTTTGGAACCTTCCTAAGAGAAAATATTTTCAAGAAATGACTTTTCTCAATTACATGAATTGCTTCTTTAAGAAATGAGAAAAGAGGGGCGCCTGTGTGGCTTAGTCGGTTGGGCATCCTACTCTTAATTTCGGCTCAGGTCATGATCTCAGGGTTGTAGGATGGATCCCCGCCTTGGGCTCAGCAGGGAGTCTGCTTCTCTCCTCCCTTTGCCACTCCCCCAGCTCCCACGCACAAATTCTCTCTCTGTGTCTCTCTCTAAAATAAATACAAAAATCTTTAAAAAAAGGAAAGAGAAAAGACAGACCAGAATTATTACTGTAACTCAAATGTTACCTTAAACAGCTATTTTAGGGGAAATGTTAAAAGTAGTACCATTTTAAAATGCATAAAGACTGAGTATGGTTTCCTAAAATTTAAACTTAAAAATAAGCCTGTTAAAAATGAATCATGTAATGGTCACACAATGATTACTATGTGTGTGAATGGCCCATTGAGTTCTGTCCAATAGAAGTTTTAACAGTGATATGGATACAGCACACTCTACCTGTGCTGTCCAGTATGGTGAACACTTGAAGTGGTACTCATGCAGCTGAGGAGTTAAAATTTTAATTTTACTTAATTTTAAATAACTTAAATAGCCACACGTAGCCAGTGACTACCATACTGGACAATGCCGCCCTATAACTACATGGCAACATAAATGAATCCCTCAAACAGAATACTGAGCAAAAGAAGTTAACACAAAAGAGTACACATTGCATTTCTGTAAAGTATAAAAACAGACAAAATTAAACTCTGCTTAGAATTCAGCATAGAGGTGAACTTTGGGGAGCATGTGACTGGGAGGGGGCACAAGGGGACATCTAGGGTGGTGTATATTGGGCTGGATACAGGTGACCAACATGTGTTTAAGTGGAGAAAATTCATCAAGCTATACACTTGTGACTTACACACTTTCCTATATGTATATTATAGATCCATAGAAGATTCAAAAGAAATTAACCCATTGGAGCTGGAGGGGGGTGGTCATATCTACCTATAAGAGCTGTCCAAAGAGCAATGCAGTGCTAAGTGCTGTATTGCTCACATCTCTAATGAAGGGAGTTTGCTGCTTTCCAAAGAAAACTCCAAGTGCTCCAAAGGCACCCTTCTTGTTGCAAGGACCACCATACAGCCCACACCCAGTGCACCTTCTGTTCCTTCAGCTGCTGCTCCAGCTTCTGAAGCTCCTCCTTGCTCTTCTGCACGTACTGTTGTAGCGCCTTAATTTCTGTCTGCCTGGTGTCCATGTCTGTCTGAATCTGCCTAAGCTCCTTCTCTAGTTTCTCCTTCTTCCGGGACTCCCGTGAAGCTTCATTCTGACGTTGCTGGATTTCTTGTTGGAACTAGGGACACAGAAAGGACAGAGGAAAGAGATGAAGCCCACACCAGGACAGGTCTCACCCAGCCAAGCTTCTCCCTTTCTCAAATCTTACATTTTCAGGACAGTCCCCTTGTAGTAGCCTTTCCCCTGCAGGACAGTTATCTTTGAACCTTAATGTTAAAACTTTCCAAGAATATTCTATATTGTTTTTCAGACACTTCACACCAAATACCACCTGGATGGTGGGAACAAATCCACAAAGAAAGGTATAAAATCCAATTAAATATGGAAGCCCAGAATTCTAGAGAAGTTAAACATGGAAAGAATTCATACAATTCTCTATTAATAGGATCTAAATAAAATGTTTCCTGCTATCCTTAATATGAAATTATGTTTCACATGTCCTGGATGTTACTAAAAACAGCATTATAGTTTTATCATTATGGCCAAAATCTACAAAAAAATATTTGTTATCTTATGCTCAAAGGAATCTCATGTTTTTCTTCTGGAGATTGCACGTGTGAATCATCTACTTGACTTCTGAATTTATGTAAAAGTGTTCAAAAAGAGTCCTTACAGGACCACCTGGGTGGCTCAGTGGTTGAGTGTCTGCCTTTGGCTTAAGTCATGATCCCAGGGTCCTGGGATCGTGTCCCACATCAGGTTCCCTGCAGGGAGCCTGCTTCTCTCTCTGCCTATGTCTCTGCCTTTCTCTGTGTGTCCCTCATGAATAAATAAATTATTTTTTTAATAAAAGAGTCCTTACAAAGGAGAAGAGCCTATTTCCACCCTTCCCAAAAGCAGGGCATCCTGGCTATTTCCAAGGATATCCTCTTGGGCCAAAATTGTAAGCAGTGCCCTTAGTGACTTCTCAGATACACAATGTTGAGAGGAAATGCACAAGTATAACTGTTCTTGCAGAAGTAAAACCAGAGAAACAACCAGAACTGTGGATGCTTCGTTTGGCCACAAGGCAGTAAATCGAACAGAGGAACAACACAGGAAGGGCTTCTGGAAGGTTCTTTCATCTTGCCCTCCTTGGCAGAGCAGACCTGACTGATGACCTGCTCCACCTCTTCTCTGCCTCGCTCCGTTTCCTGCTGCTGTTCAGTGGTCTGAGCTAAAGACTCTCGTAATTTCACCACTTCTAACAAGAGCTGGTCTCGCTCCTTCGTCACTTCTTCTTTGAACTTCAGTAAATCTCGGATGCTGAAAAAGAACAACACAGGACTCAGACTAAAAGGCCATCTGCTCAGGAGTCCTTCATATTATCCTCTGAGCTCATGTTCATAGGCAAGACTTCGGGACCAGGACTAACACTATCCAGGTGTGAAAGAGAAAGATTTTTATGCCCTGTCGTGGACACAGTAGCTGCTCATGAGTTATTAACTGAAAAAGAAGTTCCAATAATAATATATATAATATGATCTCTTTTCTTATCTTTAAAGAATTACACTGTCTGTGTATATGCATGTATATGTGTTTTGTAGGCATTTTTGTAGAAGTCCAAAAAAAAATTGAAACTGGTGACTGGTTATCTCTGAAAAGTGTAATATAGGGTTGGAAGAGTTGGAGGGATAATTTTTCCTCCTTAGTTTCCATGCCTTTGTATTACTTGAATTTGTTACAGTAAGATTATATTGCTATTGTTTTGTCTTGTTTTCAAGATTTTATTTATTTATTCATGAGAGACGCAGAGAGAGAAAGAGGCAGAGACATAGGCAGAGAGAGAAGCAGGGAGCCCAATGTGGGACTTGATCCCAGGACTCCAGGATCATACCCTGGGCCAAAGGCAGACGCTGAACCACTGAACCACCCAGGCGTCCCAATTATATTGCTATTGTCAACTCTTGTAATTAACCCTAAGGATATATTAATTTAAGAAATTATTTGTTTACTATGTTCGGTGGAGGACTGTGATCACAGCCATAAAGTTTAAAATGAAGCATAAACATAAGCAAATAATATGCATTGCCAATTTTCTCTCCATTCACCCATAGAGATTAGTTTCTCCCAAAGAGATGTAACCCAGATAAGACATTCCTAAGAAGAAAATTTGGAAAATCATTCACAATGCCAGTTATTAGAGAGTATGTGATAATATTTGTTGATTTAATCATAAACAGTTACTTCTACATTTCAAAAACCAGTACATATGATTTGACATGACTTTCCACAGAATTAACATTTTGAAAGTAGAAAGACTATGTCTGATCTGATCTGTGCAGCAGAATTAAGTTCTAAAGCAAGGCAGCTATGTGAGAGTCAAGAAAGCAGAGAACTTGCACTAGAGGCACTTGCCACTGGCAGTCATCAAATGACCATTGGAAGCACAGTAATCTGACAATGTTTACTTACCAATAACTTTGATAGAACATAACTATTTAATAAGGACACTTCAAGACCACATTCAACTTCTCCAAAAACAAAAGTTCGAATTCTTTTTTTTTTAATTTTTTTTTATGATAGTCACAGAGAGAGAGAGAGAGAGAGGCAGAGACACAGGCAGAGGGAGAAGCAGGCTCCATGCACCGGGAGCCCGACGTGGGATTCGATCCCGGGTCTCCAGGATCGCGCCCTGGGCCAAAGGCAGGCGCCAAACCGCTGCGCCACTCAGGGATCCCTAGATGTTGGGTTCTATGGAAACAGAGAAAACAGTACTCTCGTGCTTAGTCATTGGTTCTAGGGGTAGGGAAGAGGTTGAAACAGAGATGCTGATAGTGATGAAATTAGATGGTATTTGAGATGGGTCTTGCATAGTTGTTTACTCTGTGGAGAAAGAAAGAGAAAGCATTCCTGACATAGAAAACAGCACGTTCTAAGGTGTGGGGGCATAAGCAGCATGGTGTTTCTGGGCATGAATTTAGCATGGCAGATCTATGTAAGGAAGGCCCTGAAAGACATGTTCAAGATTAGGCTGCAGGGTTGCCTGGGTGGCTCAGTAGTTGAGCGTCTGCCTTCGGCTCAGGTCATGATCCCAGGGCCTTGGGATCAAGTCCCACATCAGGCTCCCCACAGAGAGCCTGCTTCTCCCTCTACCTATGTCTCTGCCTCTCTTTGTGCATCTCTCATGAATAAATAAATAAAATATTTTTTTAAATGACAAGGCTGCGTCCTTTGGGAATGGGAAGCTATTAAAGGTGTTTGGAACATGTGCTAGAGATGGAAGCACACAGGCACACATTTCAGAAGCCTAAATCTGATATATGGAAGATAGTGAAGAGGGGAGATGTCTCCTTGAAGGAAGGAGACTAATTAGCAGTCCATCACTAGATCCAGCAGAAAATGAGAGGCCCGAAGCAGGCATTAGCACTGCTGATAGGGAGCAGGGAAAAATAGAAGTGATACTTGGAAGACAGAATCAACAAGATGAAGCTTTAAGGGATAGCCTAGAACCTATTTCCTGGCCTAGAATCTGAGAAGTAGGAAGGATGGTGATGGGTATAATCATGGGGTTTGGGGGGAGGAGGAAGAAGCTGGAAATTGGAGCAGAAAGGCAGCCAGTTCCATTCCACACAGGTTTGAAAGAAATAAACCTAAAACATTTACTCATTTTGAAATTGTAGGGGATCCCTGGGTGGCTCAGTGGTTTAGCGCCTGCCTTCAGCCCAGGGTGTGATCCTGGAGACCCGGGATGGAGTCCGGCGACGGGCTCCCTGCATGGAGCCTGCTTCTCCCTCTGCCTCTCTCTCTCTCTCTCTCTCTCTCTCTCTCTCTCTCTCTCTCTCCCCTCTCTCTCTCTCTCTCTCTCCCTCTCTCTCTCTCTCTCTCTCCCCCCCCCGTGTCTCTATGAATAATAAATGGATAAATCTTAAAAAAAAAGTTGTAGCCCATATTCCTTCAGAGTTAGAAGTTTAACAGAACCACAAATTAGTGGGCAGCCCGGGTGGCTCAGAGGTTTAGCGCCACCTTCAGGCCAGGGCGTGACCCTGGAGACTCGGGATCAAGTCCCACGTTGGGCTCCCTGCAGGGAGCCTGCTTCTCCCTCTACCTGTGTCTCTGCCTCTCTTTCTCTCTCATGAATAAAAAAATAAAATCTTTAAAAAAATAAAATAAAATAAAATAAAATCTTAAAAACACACACACACACACAAATTAGGAGTTCTTGGGTATGGAGAAGGGAGCATTAAAAACAAAAAATAGGGGTACCTGAGTGGCTCAGTCAGTTAAAGGTCTGCCTTTGGCTCAGGTCATGATCTCAGGGTCCTGGGATGGAGCCCTACATCAAGCTCCCTGCTCAGCGGGGAGTCAGCTTCTCCCTCTCTTTCTGCCCCTCCCCCTGCTCATGCTTGCTCGCTCTCTCTCTCAAATAAATAAATAAATTCTTTTGTAAAAAATAGCAATAGATGGAAAACAATCTCCAGGAAACCACCACAGAAGGAAACTCTGTAAAACAAAAAACATTCAAGGTGACACTGCAAGCCCCAAGGCTGTTCCCAAAAGCAAGTTCAATCCATCAAGAGTCATGACCTACTTGCTATCCTGGTCCATGGACAATCCAGACCCCTGCTCCACTAGTTTGGTTAGGTTCACTATTTCCTCTTTCAGGGCAAGGATCGTTTCCTTTGCCTTCTGCTCTTTGTCATAGGCCGAGTCCACCATCTTCCAGGCCTTTTCAATTTCCTATATGGGCCATGGGACATCAGTGAGAAAGAACAAACTAGGATCCAGATGCAAGATAAACTGAGTAAACAGAATAATAAAACAACTCCAATATAGTAATCACTTGTGGGGAAAGAAGGTTACATATTATACATTATGCATTCCATTTATATTGACTTACTGAATTTCTCAACACAAGCTAGTCAATACTAAACAGCAGTTTTAGGAGGGGTTCTGGCTCACATCCTGCAAGGGCTGCTATAACTAGGGGGATATATGTGTTAATATAGGTTTACAAAATTAAAAATGAAAGTTTGTGCTTTCCAAGTCCAGATATTTTTGTGAAAAAAAATTAAGGACTGACCTTAGATCTAAGCTTCAAATTTAATTTGAAGCTCCTGACAGTTCCAAATAGAAATATCTGTTTTGTCCTCAGGTCCCAAGTCAGTGATCCTGGATGGCAATGTCAACTTTAGAACAATTCATAGCAAGGTAGTCTTCACTGTCGTCTAATTGTATACAACAGCTTTGGTGGTTCCCATTCCAGAAGCCCATGCTCAGGCCTTCTCATCAAATGCTCACAGGGGAAAAAAACAAAGCCCCTAGCTGGAAATGGAAACAACTCATGCAGTTTGGCTTTTCTTACTGTTGTGAAATGCAATGAGGAATATCAACATAAATACTTAAAAGTGAATTTCAGCCATTCAAATAAGTGAAAAAAGCAAATGTTGCAACAGCCATGAGTTTTACCCTGCCACTCAATTTTCTTGCAAAATTTTGTCAAGTGGAATGTGAGTCCTTTATACATGTAAGAACCTATAAGCTGAAGGTGACAATACCCACTTTCATGTTGACAAGGCATAAAATTGGAAGAGAATATTTACATAAATTCGTACTCACATTAGAGAGAGAAATGAGTCTTGGATAACTTCACATAATTTAGTGATTCAAAACAACTATAGGGTATTTTTTTGTAGCAACCATATGTACTATTTTCAGCAGAACAAATGAAGGATATTTAAGTGAAAATGCAATTATATGAAGTTATGTCTCAATCACCAATTATATTTTAACCAGTTCATGATTTCCATTTCCAATTTTTTAATTTACAATAAAAAATGTTTTTTTATTATCATAGAATGAGTTAAAGCCTTCTTTTATTGTTTTTTTTTGGACAAAAGGAGAAAATGGCAGTAGGGAGAAAATGGCACTTTTAAAAAGGTCCTTTCTAAGAAAACAGATGTCATAATATGCGTTGGTGTTGGAAATTCACTTAAACTGGGTGATGATAAACTGGGTGATGTTTCATTGTATGATATCAAGGAGTTTAAAAACTTCATGAGTTATTTCTCATCACTAGGGTTTTAATTATAAATTAAAGTCTCTTAATCTCTCATCACCTTGAAATCACAAGGAACATTTACATTTTTTTTAAAAAGATTTTACTTATTTATTCTTGAGAGAGAGAGAGAGGCAGAGACACAGGCAGAGGGAGAAGAAGGCTCCATGCAGGGAACCCGACGTGGGACTCGATCCCAGGTCCCCAGGATCACACCCTGGGCCAAAGGCAGGTGTTAAACGGCTGAGCCACCCAGGCCGCCCAGAACATTTACATTTTACCCTCAAAATAATACAACACACTTGAAAATAAAAAAATAAAGGGTAAAACAGAACCATATTTACTAAATATCTCCCAGACTGAATCCCTGCTCTCCCATTATGAGGAACTGGGAGGATCAAGAAGGAAGCACGATCGTGAAAATCACTATCTAGGAATTCTCAAGTTAATTTCTCCTAAAACAAGGGGAATAGCAAAAATATGAAAATATCGTTTAAAAAATGTTTAACAAGCTATCATCATGAGATATTTAATTACTCATCTTATATCAAACAAGACATACCAAGGTCCCTAGTATTATACTTAGTTACCTCTAATTCTTTTTTGCTAACCCAGAATTTCCTAGAAACTAAGCCAGTAAGGTTCTACGTTATTTCCTGCACAGTGAAATATATAAATCACGTAAATTTTCACCTAATAACTCATTTACTACCAGCCAAGAGCTGCCAATATAAAGAAAGAAGGATGTTTTAAATACAGGATGCATTTATGGCAGCTCTGCCTGGGTTCTGTTTCTACAAGATCACTGACCTTCTTCAGGGATGCGATGGTGGTCTGATCATCCTGGGAGACCTTCAGGGCAGTGGCAACCTTTGCAGAATTAACCACAATCTCTGCGTTGAGCTCTCTGCATTTGGCCATCAGACGCTTTTCATTGTCATAAGACTTTTTCATGACAGCATGAAGCTTCTCATATTCAATTCTAAATTTCTCCAGACTTTTGTCTCCTGAAAGTTCATTGAGAACCTCCTGAAAATCCCTTTCGATTTCTTCAAATGCAGTTTCTTCCAGTGCGAGTTTTTCACTTTTACCCTGTATAAAAGAGCAGGGAGGGAAATGAGTACTGCAACATATACATCGCTACTATTTGGGAATTGCTGTTAATAGCTATGAACACAAAATCTTCACAGAAGCAAAATAAAAGTCACTGACAAAACTACATGATGGAAAAACATTTTATTCATCCCCCGATGCATGCATATATGTACACATGTGTGTTAGGATAAGATTTTTAATAATATTATTATTATAATATTATTATAATTAATTATTATATACATTATATAATAATAATAATAATATATTTCCTACCACATGGTATCAACAAGCAGATTAAATAGGATCATTTATGTTAAATACTTGGCCAAGTGCCTGGCAAACAGGAGGCACTCATAAACTTTGATAGCTGTTAGGATTATTCCAAGCCCTGATTTTACTTCATTCCACTTCTTACTGGCCCCAGGACTGCAGAGGAAAGCCATGGCATGTTATGGTCAGCTATCAGGAGATTTTGGTGTTGAGATCATGAAATCACACATACAATGAACCCCATCTGAAATATGGAATAGTATCCTAAAAGATATTCCATCATTTTTATTTCTTAAAATAATTAGGCACGGTTATCTCCACAGGTTTATGAGATGCCCCCTATGCCATGCTCACAGGGCTTCTCCAGATTTGCTTTTTGTGCTTACTGGACAACAAATTAAAAAAGAATTTTAAAAAAGGGGGGGGATCCCTGGGTGGCGCAGCGGTTTAGCGCCTGCCTTTGGCCCAGGGCGCGATCCTGGAGACCCGGGATCGAATCCCACGTGGGGCAGGGCTCCCGGTGCATGGAGCCTGCTTCTCCCTCTGCCTATGTCTCTGCCTCTCTCCCTCTCTCTGTGTGTGACTATTATAAATAAATAAAAATTAAAAAATGAATAAATAAATAAAAATAAAAGAGAGAGAGAGCGCACGCGAGTCCAGACGTACAGATGTAATTCAAGCAGATCTGGCTATGAGATGAAACTTAGATGAGAACCTAGGAGTCAGTTATATAAGAATTCTTATTTCTCTAGTGTTAAGAGTTGAATTTGTCCCCCAGAAATATATGTTGAAGTTCTAACCTCCAGTAACTGTAAATGTGACCTTATTTGGAAGTAGAGTCATTACATATATAATTAGTTAACTTGAGATCATACTGGAATACAGTGTACCCTAATCCAATAGGACTGGCTTCCTTTAAAAAAAAAAGATTTTGTTTATTTATTTATGAGAGAGACAGAGAAAGAAGCAGAGAGACACAGGCAGAGCAAGAAATAGGCTCCCTGAAGAGAGTCCCATGCGGGACTCAGTAGGACCCCAGGATCACGACCTGAGCCAAAGGCAGACACTCAATCACTGAGCCACCCAGGCGCCCAGGACTGGTGTCCTTATAAAAAGAGGGAAAATTGTAACTACGTGTAGTGACTGATGTCTAAACTTGTTGTGGATAGATAGATAGATAGATAGATAGATAGATAGATAGATAGAATCTCAAATCATTATGTTGTACACTTAAAACTAATACAATGTCACATGTCAATTATATCTCAATAAAACAAAAGTATAGGGATGGGATTTGGACAGAAATACAAATACAGAAAATGCCTCATGAAGACAGACACAGGAATTAGGCTGAGGCAGCTGGAAGCCAAGGAAAGCTAAAGATGGCTAGCTACTGTCAGAAGCCAGAAGAGGCAAGGAAGGTCCTGCCGACACCCTGATTGCAGACTTCTAACCTCCAGAACTGTGAGACAATAAATCTCTACTGTTTAAAGTCGCCCTGTTTGCAGTATTCTGTTATGGCTGCCCTGGCAAACTAATACACCTTCTTCTTGTTAGACACAGCACAAAAATAAAATAAAAATTAAAAAAATAGGGATGGTTAATATATTTATTATAATATAAATGGTTAATATATTTGTTTAGTTATTTAGCAAATGTTTATTGAACATTTACTCTGTGTAAGTTGATAAAGCCTGTAGGAGGCACAAAGGTAAGGAATAAACAGCTCTCCCACAGGGAATTTCTACATTAATAGTTGATGGGATATGTTTTCAGAGAATGGAAGTAAGGAATTTGATATCTGCCATAAAATGGTTTCAAAATTCTACACAAGATGGAATTATTCCCAGTAGCAAGAATGAAAGCCAGTTTCTTAAAGGAGGTGGTATTTGAGCAGGCCCAGAAGGGAGAGTGAAATTTTCACAGGTAAATATGGAGAGAAAAGATACGTTTGGCCCAGGGCAAAGCTTGAACAAATGCTCAGAGCCCAGGAAGTATTCAGGATTTGAGGTTGGTTAAGAAGCTCAGAGCAGCTGAAGTGTAAGGGGTATGATAGGGAGAAGGAAAGAGAAGACTAGACAAGGAAATAAGGGCAGATTGGAGGACTTGAATGGAATTCTAATGGATATGGAGTGGATTAATCGTAGGCCATGCAAGACTTTGGAACTGATAAGGTATGAAAAGCCTTATTTATGGATGCATCATTATGCTTTGATGTTCAATCCTAAAAAGAGCTTCAACATCAACACTCTATCGCTAATCAAAGAAATCAACTGAGATTATTTCTCTAATCCCCAAAATAAAGTAAAATTTAAATTCGCCCTGCAGATTTAGGGTAAGCAATCTCATTTACCTTCTGCTTTGACAAGCCTGTCTTGCCCGATATAGAGAAAGTCTACGTATTTTTGGTTTCCAAAAACACTTCTGTTGATTTCCAAAGATGACACCCAAGCAAAAGAACCCACATCTTAAAATAGATGTAGAGTAACAAGCATATCTATAACATTTTTGCATAACAACATTAGTACTAATGTTAAACTCAACAGAGGTTTTCTTCCTGACTAAAAGCAGCTTATTGCAGACATCACATTATAACCATTCCACAAAGGAGAGGAAAATCGTATTAAGAAAATATGGTGCTGCTGCTGCCCTGTGTTTTCTCCCCTTGTTGATGCTAAACATGAGCACACACAAAAAATTTATCATGGCAATGTTCTCAATTCCATCCCTGTAAATGGTATTAATGTCAGCCTTTGATCACTAGCCTAATGATTTGTTTGCAGACGAGGTTTTCCCTGTACGTCTGGCACTTACCACAGGAATGGAAAAACATCAAACAAAGAAAAGTTTTTAAAAAGAACTTTTATGAACAGATTTGTTCATATTGACATTTTTAAAAAGGTACCATGCTAAAAGCACAGCAAAAATAGCCTCTGAGCTGTGACCAATAACCAGTTGATTTCTACACAGTCAGAGCATATAATGGTTTCTATTTTGGAAGCACAATTTCAACATGAACTAGTCAGAAAGGAACTGTGATGTTCCTTCATTCAACACCTATCTTTCGAGTGTTTACTATCTGCCAGGTACTGTCCTGGGTGCTGGGAATACCAATTAGTGGGAGAACGACAAGGAAAAAGGACAGGAGAGCTGCAATGATAAATGAGGCCAGAGTGTTAATGGAAACTTTGGAAGCAGAGGTGAGGAAAACCTGGCTGACATCGAGTGAGAGAAGAAAAATAGAAGAAGGGAAGAAATGAGAGGAGATCATGAAGGGGAAGGGAGACTGGGAAATCATTTGTTCATGGTGTGAGTATCTGGGGCTTATGAAGAAGAATGAAATGAACCAAGATGACTTGTGAGGGGGAAAGGATGGGAGTGCTCAAAAGCAAATGAAGGAACAGGAGATGGAGAGGAAAGGAACATGACCAAGCGAGGGAAATGGGGTGAATGTGGTGGCCACCACCGTGCAGATGTAAGAGGGACAGAGATCAAGGAGCCCAGGAGTGAAGAAGAGGAGGGTGGGAGAGGGGTTGGATGCTAAGAGAAGGAGGAAGCTCTGTCCACAGAAGGAAGGAGCTTATAAGGAGAGGCTCGATGTGGAGGAGACAGAATGATGAGGATGTGAATGGTGCAGAGGAGATAGAAGGAACTAGAATAGGGGTCAGGGCATGACGGTGATGACCGATGATGGAGGGACCATGCTGATTTCATGAGCACACAACCTGCCAGGGTGCACAGGAACCCTTTGCTCAATAAGCCCCACCCTCGGTTTAATGCTCTGCTATCTCCTTTTGAAATTCTTAATAATTTGTTAACAAGCGGCTCTGCATTTTCACTTTTCACTGAGCCCCACCAATTATGTAGCTGACCCTGGTTGAGACTGACCCTGTGACAGGGGAGATGGGGGAGGACTTTGATGGGACAGTGGAGGAATAGGGTAGGATATGACGAATGGGGACTGTGACCAGCAAATGACAGGGACTCGAGGTTGTACAAATCACAAACGAGGATGCTAATGGGCAAAGGGTCAATAAAGGGGCTGCAGAAACGACCCCTCATTAGTGAGGCTAAAGATGGAGTATACTACGAAGTGAGGGAGTGAAGGATGCTACAAGATTTTAACACAGTGATCAATGATGACACAGGGCCTCCGCGATGGGAGAAGAGCTTAAAGGAGATGTGTTCACAGCAGGTGACCGGATGATAGGGAATCGTGGTGTGACAGGCAGACAGAGGTCAGTGAATAAGGGTGACAGTGGGTATCTATGAAGCCTTCTTCCAGGTCCCCCCAGCCAGTGAGACATCAACATTTCTGCGTCCCTCTCCTGTGGTATCACCTTACGGGTCAAAGGGGCGGGTGCCTGTCAGGTGTGCGTCTAGGAATTCATGAATTTCAGACTACATTTCACACAGCGCCAACTTTAAGAGAGGAGGTGGGAGGTGTCTACGCAGTTGAAGGTGAGACAGGAGGTAGAGGGGCCAGAACCAACGAGACAGAGGGGTGGGGTGAGGCTGCGGGTGGGGATAGAACGCGGGATGGCGGGAATGCGGGAATCCGTGGATGTGACAGGGGATAAGCCGACAGGGGGAGGAGTCGGGGAGGAGTCGAGCGAGAGACAACAGAGAGAGAGGCACGACTCCTAACCTCGGCCATCCTGACGCTCTCTGGGGGTGGCCTCAAAGCCTGCTGTGGTGACCGCGGAAACTGGGCCCGAGTCTGAGGAAGGGGCTGTGCACACCCCCCAGCGTCTATAAGGGCGCCACGTTATTTGTATCCCGCGCACGGGGGCAGAAACCCGGCGCTCGGCGCGTCCTCCCGTCGCCTGGCAACCGCCACGCCCCCTAGGGAAACTTGGGGATGGGGAAGGGGCGGGGCCTCCGGGGCCGGCGCCTGGGGGCGTTCCTTAGAGGCGTATGCAAATTGCCCGGAGTGGGCGGGACCAAGGATGCGACGGGGCGGGGCCTCCGAGAGGCTGCGCGCAACCCCAAGGTGCGTGCCAGAGGCGCCCGGGGAGAGGGCAGGGGCCAGATCCCGGAGGCCGCTAGGGCCAGCCGATGGGAATGTGGATCAAAGGCTTCGGGAAGGACCGCAGCCACCCTCTGCTCTCTGTGACATTCGGTCGCGAGAACAAGAAATCATCTCAGTTCAAGTCAGTTCAACCCTAATGAAGCAGCTGCTGTATGCAAGACAAGGAGGGGAAAGTAAAATAGAGAAAACACAGACCCTGCTTTCCAAAGGTTTAGTCGCCAGTGGTGACAAAAATAGGGTGCAGGGCTCGATGCACCCTAGGAAAACGAATGTGGAGCCACATTGTGAAAAGCTACCTTTCATCTGGGCCTCCGCTCCCAAGACCGTTTCTTCTCCCTCTCCCCCTCCTCCACCACCCCCTACAGACTTCAGGTACTGAAAGGTGGATTAAAAAACTTGGTTCATGAAACGTGCAAGACCCGGCTCTTGTTTTATCTTTTCCCTCTATCCTCATTCTTACTCTCACCCTTCCTCAGCCCCATAGTCATTCATGCTGCTGTGCATGGATATGGATTTTTGAAAAGTGTATACCTTTTAATTGGTGTATTTTTAAATGTCTCATAAAGCTATTGGACTTTAGGAATCATCTCATTCTCTTCTTTTTTTCACTCAATATTCTTTTTCTGCATCTGTCCTTCTGTGGTTCGTGTTGCAATCCTAGTTCATCACTTCTGATTGCTGCATAGTCTTCCATATTGGACATCCACCCAAGTGACGTCCATTCCCCAAATGGATGCCAAGGCTACCACCACCTCTCCAATACCACAAACAATGCAGTGATAATCATCCTTGAGGCATGGTCTTTTATGGACCAACGTGCAATTCCGAGGAAATATATGCCTAGGAATGAGATTGGTGAGGTTGCAGGGGATGCACAGGGCCATCACATTGGGTTATGCAATTTGTCCAGTACAAAGACATCCAGCCAAGGGACCTGTGGGGACTGGAACTCAGCCCCTACTCTATCCTGTGCCATGTGCCCTGCTGAAGGAAGATGTGCCCTTTTCTTCCCACAAAAGCTCTGTTCTTTGGACAAGTCATGAAACTAGAAGAAAGCTATAACCACCCAGAGGATATGCCTTTTTCAAATTCATCTGCCCAGTGGTGGACACTATTTTCCAATGTACTCACCTTCACCAAGTACTGCTAGATTGCACACCAGAATTGCTGCACCATACTCTGCTCCACTGCATAATATAAGGGTTTCTGTCCTCCACTCCCATCCTTGCCAGCACATGGTAGTTTGTTTATTCATAAACACTCACATAGGGTTTACTAAGTACCAGATACTATTCTAAGTGCCTTGCAAATACTGACTCATCTAATTAGCCAATTTTATAAATTCGGTCAATTATCATGGAAGTAGTGTCAACATATTTTTTTTTACTTTGCATCACTCTGACTGCTAGTGAAATTGAATATTTCTTCATGTATCTATAAGCCATTTGGGGGTCCCCTTCTGTGAATTTTCTATTTATAGCCTTTGCCTATTTTTCAATTGCTTTTTTTCTTTTTGATTTGATTTACAAGAGGTCTTTGTAAAGTCTGGACATTAATCTGCTTTCAAAGACTAGAAACTTTGCTTGTAACATCCTCTGTAAGACAATAATCCTTCATTTTGTAGCCCGTCATTTTTTTTCTTTTTTTTTAAATTTTTTATATGCCTTTTCAAATGACTTAACAAGACATTCTCAACTCCAAGTTCAGGAAGGTCATAGAGGGATTCTCTATCATTTTCTTCCATTAGTTTCATAGTTTTATTTTTTAGCATTCAGTTCTTGAGTCCATTTGGAGTTCACTCTTACATGTGGTGTAAGATAAGGAGCCAATTTTTTTTCTCAGTGGAGTGAGCACATTTTCAACATCTTGGTCCCCTAACATAGATGGGTCTGTTCTGAGCTCTCTGGTTTTCTCCTATGCCAGTACTACAAGGTTTTATTATGATGGTTTTATAGCCAGTCATCATGATTGAAGGGCAAGTCCCCCACCCCTATGTCTTCTGTCAAAACTGCACTGGCTTCTCGTGAAATTCCATCACCCCATATAATTTTCAGGATGTTTTTCAAGTTCCTCATGAGAAATCTTAATTGGAACATTACTGAATTTATCAATTAACTTGAGGAAAATTCACATTTGTATAATTATATCTCCTTTGTGAACAGAAATTGTATATGTGGTAGACAAACATGACATAATATGGTTGAGGCATAATGTGCATGGAGGTGATGGGAGAGGTGGCAGATGAAACTGGAGAAGCAGTCTGCACCAAACTGCAAGCCAAGATAATAGAAATGAAGTAAACATAGGGCAGTGAACATGACTCAGACTGCTCTGTGTGTTTACAGGAGACCTGATCACATATGGAGACTAGACTATCAGGTTGTGGGACCACCGTGATCCAGAGAGACTCTATAACATTCTCTAAAGTACATAACAACAAAGAGAGACTTAGAGGGCCCTGACCACCCATATCTTGTGCTGGAGTCCATTGTGGTGCCACATATCTTCCCATTTCCCAAAAATCACCTGAAGGATTGTTTTACAAGTAGATGATCTGCCAGGGTGATAGAAATTCAATCCAGAAAACACTTTTTTAAAGCACTGGCTACATTGCTCATACAAGGCTGGCCTCAGGAACCACAGAGTTAAGTAACGCAGAGTCACTGCCCTTTGCATTCACAGTCTGGCTTTGGGAGAAAGAGAGAAAGGAAAATCTGCAATTAATTCTAACACTATATGATGGCATCATCTAGAAGATGGCATATCAACAGCAAGCACTATGGGTGCTCTGGCCATCTAGACACTGATACCTGAGAGCATTACTCAAAATATGGGGACAAAAGGACCAGAACCAAGGAAATCAGGGATCCACAGGAGGTGGAAAGGAACATGACGCATTCAACTCACAGGAAAGGGATGAAGGTGGACATCATCTTGGATGGATGAATGGATGAGAGGATGAGTGGTTGGACAAATTAATTTATGCTGATGTAAGAAAGTGCTTCATTTCCACTTTCCCAGATTACTGAGGCCCCTGCTCCCCTTTGTGGTTGTAATAAAAAGGAGCACTAGGTGGCATCATACTACCAAAAGTCCTCACCTTTTAAAGTCTCAAGGAGAAAACTCCCCCACCAAGATTGAGTCAGCTCCTAATCTTAGACAAGAGTGCTTCTAACAATTTCATTTCTCATAACACCCACTTTATTTATTTATTGAGCATCTACTATATGCTCATCCTATGCTGCATACTGTGGAGAATAAAAAATGAGCTGAAGAAAGGATCTCCTCCTATGGGAACATAAGGAGAAGCAAAACATGTATGGAACCCCTCCCCTACACAAAAAAATTTTCAATACAGTCCAAGGCTGGATGGTGAGCACTGAAATGAGGATGTCGAATTATAATATCCAGTGTAATCTGGCCCCTTTGACTTTCTGGTGCCTTCTCCCACAGCTCACTTCTTACCCCAATGGCTTCATTCAATTCCTTGTGTATGTCACATTCTCTCCCACTACTTGGAGTTCACAGAGGCTGATCTTTCGTCTGGTATGCTCAACCCTCCCTCTTTACCTGGCTGACTCCCATTCACCCTTCCTTCAGATCTCATTTTCTCAAGATCATTTCTGACCAGCCCTCAACACCAGATTACTTTTACAAATACCATGTCTTCTACTTCTTGGACCCTCCAACAATGGGTAATTAATCATGTATTCATAGAAATGATTGCTTAAAATCTGTCTTCTCTAACAGACTATCGAACAATAAGAAGACAAGGATCATGTATACCTTGTTCAGCCCTATCTCTGCTGGTGTTATAGGCTGAACTATGTCCCCCTAAAATTCATATGTTGAAGCCCTAACCCTCACCTACCTCAGAATGTAACTATATTTGGAGATGGGGCCCTTAAATAGGTGATTGGGTTAAAATAGACCATAAGGGTGAGCCTAAAACAATCAAAATTGTGTCCTTATAAAAAGAGGACATTTGGACGTACAAAGAGACACCAGAGATACACGTACACAGAGGAAAATAGAGTGATAAGGGTATCTGCAAGCCAAGTAGAGAAGCTAAACCCAGTGACACCTTGATCTTGGTCTCCTTGCCTCTAGAACTGTGAGCAAATAAATTTCTTGTTGTTTAAGGCACCCAGTCAGTGGTATTTTATTATAGCAGCCTCAGGAAACTGATATAAATGGCCATCACTCCTCTCAGTTTATAACTATTAAGTGAATGTCTATTGAATGAGTTCTAAAACAAGGAAGAACAGTGAAGGATGGCGTATTAGGAAAAGCTACATCGTAGACATGGCCCTTGAACTTGACCTTAAATGAGAAAATAGAAGGAATCCCAAGTATAGGAGGGACCATTGGGAATAGATACCAAGGCAAGAATGCAAAAATCCTGCTACAGGGAGGGTGGGGTCCGTCTCAGGGGCCAGTGGACACTAATGTTGATAAGAGGGCGTGGGTGAATGGTAGAGGTTTGGAGGAATAACAGAGAAGTGGCTGCAAATGCAAAGACCAGGGACAGCCAAGGACACACTCGTTTGCACTGCCAGATAACTTGAATATATGATCATGAACTGTAATACCTCTGCAAAGCTCTTTGTTTAAACCTGGATATA